AGATTAATAGAGGAAAATTTATTTACGAAAGCATCACAGTACAAATATGCAATCATCATAGGGGATTTTAATGTTACAAATAAAAGAAAAAAACAAATACAAAACTTTTTAAACAATTCAGATTTCACCCAAATCCACACCCCTCCTACTTTTATAATGCCCAATAATAGTGACACTACTCCAGACATTTTGCTCTGTACAAAAAACATCATTAACAATATCACAGAAGTAGAACTAATACCTGATTTAGGATCCGATCATCTTGCCATTCAATTTAACTTTGATATAGGAAAAAATCCACAAACCATTCCAGAAAACATCAAATATAATTTTAAAAAAAGTAATATAGAAGCTATAAATAACGAAATCATCCAGACAATGAACCTACATGAGAATATTTCTCCTCAAACAATTGACTCCTTTCTAAAAAATATCACCAAAATTACTCTAAAACATACTCCTATTTTAAAAACAAGCTTCTTTGCACATACATTACCACCATTCATCATAAAACTAATTAAAATAAAGAAACAACTATATAGAGAGATAAAAATTAATTACGACCCTATACTTAAAAGAAAATACAACGAATTAAATAAGGATATACATACATTAATTCTACAATATAGGGCAGATAAATATCTAGAAGCATGCCAAAATATCAATGTAGCAAAGGGTCGGTCATACTGGGGTGAAATAAAGAAACTCTCTCGATATAAAAAATATAACCACATTCACTATATAAAAGAAGACAATAAAATCTTACAAACAGAGCAAGAAATTGCTGAGGCCTTTGCAAGACAATTTGAAAAAAATTTTAAGTTTTCGGAAAATGTAAGTTTTGATGGAAATTATAAAAATAATACACATAACTGGGTAAGAGATAACTTTACTCAAAGAAACTTAAATGAAAATATAGAAAATGTAACTGAAGACGAATATTTCGAGAGTTTGAACGGGAAGAATACGGCACCAGGGCATGATCAAATTCCTAGATTGGTTTTAAAGCAATTTGACCAGGAAATCCATGACCAAATAATAAGAATTTATAACTTCTGTCTGCATAATAGTTATTTTCCGGAAGAATGGAAGAAAGGAAGAATAATTACCATTCCTAAAGCGAACTTGGATCACACTGTCCCAGGCAACTACCGGCCCATCACCTTATTGCCAGTTGTCGGAAAAACTTTTGAAAAAATAATCAAAAATAGATTAGAACAGGCCATTGGACATAAAATCCCAATATACCAATTTGGATTCAAGAGACGAACTTCCACTACTCACCCACTAATTGTCTTAACATCAAATGTACAACAGAAGAGTATAGAGGGAAATAAATCAACTGCGCTGTTTATGGATATTTGTAAAGCCTTCGATTCCGTATGGCACGATGGGTTGCTGAAAAAATTGGTGAAATTGGAAAGCCCGAATTATTTGGTATGGATAATAAAAGAATTCCTCACACAAAGGAAAATACAAGTAAAAATTGGCAATACACTATCCCCCACCTTTTCACCAGAACAAGGAGTGCCACAAGGCTCACCATTATCACCGTTCTTGTATAATTTATTTTGTTATGACATGTACAATTTGGACCACTTAAACATAAACAGACAGAGCTATATTCTCCAATATGCTGACGACACAGTTTTGATAACGCATGGAAAAACGACATCAGAAGCAAGTGTGAAACTACAAGAACTAACCAATCATGTATCGTCATGGATGTCTAAATGGAGAATCCTACCAAGTCCGTCAAAATCACGCCTACTACTGTTCCATCACAAAATAAAAGAAAATTCGCCCACAATAAATATTATGCAAAGTACAGTGAAACCATCAACATCATGTCGTTACCTGGGAATTTTGATAGACACTAAGTTAAACTTCAAACAACACACAAGCCACACCAAGACATGTATTATAAACAGGGCCAAGCACTTTAGAAGCTTAACTTATAAAGACCAGGGAATAAATATTGCTGTGGCAACCAACATTTATAAACTTATCTGTCGCCCAGTGCTGGAATATGGATCTGTTCTTTTTATAAATTGCAGAAAACCCACCCTAACAAACATAGAGATAGGCGAGCGCACAAGCATAAGGAAAATTACAAAAATCAGACATCCTCAAAATTCCTTATTTAACCCATCCAATGAAGCCCTTTACCATATCACTGGAATACAACCCATACAAGAAAGATTGGAATACCTAGCGAAAAAATTTGCCAACAAACCCGAAAACCTTAATGTGATGGAACCTTTGATTCTTAAAACACAACTCGAGACAACACCAAGGAGAAAATACCCAGAGAAATCGTTGTATGACTCACTCAGGGAGTTGACAGAAGATTAATGAAGATTTTAACAATATATTTAATTATAACATTTTTTTTTTTTGTAAAGTACAGAACATAAATTAAAATATAGTATTTGTTATATACAAAATTGTAATTGGGCAGGAAGACGAAAGTCGTTAGCCTTTTGGATTTCCAATAAAGTTTATTATTATTATTATTAATTTATATTGAAAAATATAGGTACCTACACAAATTTTAAAAACTGTTAAAATTTTAAAATTTAATTGTTGCAGTTCTAGTCCAGATTTTTTTACCCTGTTTATTTTATTTTTAAAATAAAAATATTGTACACAAATTTTAAAAACTGTTAAAATTTTAAAATTTAATTGTTGCAGTTCTAGTCCAGATTTTTTTACCCTGTGTATTTTATTTTTAAAATAAAAATATTGTTTCAATGCATATTTTTAATTATTTGTCAAATAAATATTACAAATGATAAAAACAATTTGAAAGTAAAAATACATTTGTTTGCGGATGATTCTACCCTTGTATACTTCTCGAATTCAGTGGACATTTTAGAGCGTTATATTGCTCAGGATATGAGCTTGATTTCTAGATGGCTAAAATCACATAAACTCACTTTAAATGTGGAAAAGTCCAAGTATATGTTTATATACAAGCATAAAATACCAAGTAGTCGACCGTTAAATATTGAGGGTGGTGTTTTAAAGTATAGCTCAAATATAAAGTTTTTAGGTCTTATAATTGATGAAACATTAACATTCTCTGATCACGTTAAAAAAATAAGACAAAAAATATCTGGCCCAATAGGTATTTTACACAGATTAAATGGTTCACTCCCTAAGAAGTATTTAAGATCAGTCTACTATGCACTTATTCACTCCCACCTTCAATATTTGGCGGCCATATGGTACTCAACACATGAAAAAGTACTAAAACCAATCAAGACACTTCAAAATAAATCAATTAAAAATCTTTATTGTTTACCCGTTAGATATCATACAGAGGATTTGTATAGAAACTTTAACATTATGCCTTTGGACAATATCTATAAATATCAAGTTTGTTTCTTTATACAGAATGTTGTAAATAATAAAAAACATTCTAATCTAAAAGTAATGTTTAGAAATCAAATACATAGCCACAATACCAGAAACGTTAATAGTTTAGACATGATACAAATTGGCTCCAGGTATGGACAAAACTCTATTTTGTATAGAGGCTTAATTACATATAACACCTTGCCTGACGATGTCAAATCCTTAAATAATGTTAAGGCTTTAAAAAATTTCTTTTATCCAAGATAAATTTAAATGTTTGTGGAGTATGTTGGATGCATGTATCCAACATGTACATATGTTATAATAAGCATAAGCATAAGTGTGTTTGTATAATAAGTTTATTTATTTTGTTAGTATATCTGTACAGATTGTAACTGAAATGTGATATTTATAAATGTGATAATGGTAATATGTAGTCAGTTAAGTTCAAATTTTGAAATTGTATTATATTAAATATTAAATATGTATCGTGTATATAGAGATGCCCTCTATAAACAAGTTCTCATTGTTTCTTGGGATGAATAAAGTATTTTATTATTATTATTATTAACCAAAAATATAAAAACATAGTTTCATACATGATACAACCATCATGTATCTTGGTTTCATGCACTGTTCCTGTTTTTGCTTTCTAGCAAAAACATTTGTTTTTACCTACAGGGTGTATTATTTTTTTATAAAATGCCTTTTAAACTTGTATTATTGGCAAAAACTGTTAATAATATTATAATATGTATATTTAATTTGAAATGCCCATGTTGCCCTTTTGTGCCTCCATTTCATTTTCTTCTATGTTTAATAGAATATTTCTGGGCTCAAAAATAAATAGAGTCTAAAGTCCCCTCTACCTTGCCCAAAACCTACTGTTTCTATTTCAAAGAGCAAAAACATAATTTAAAAATTTAAAAGCAGAAAATAAGTTGAACATGGTCTAAAATTTAAAATTCTTCAAAAGTATTTAAAAATAAGACAACTATGTTTTAAAAACAATTTTGGTTTTATTTTATAATCTTTATTATTTATTAAATGGTATTTTTTTTAATTATCTGGGTATTATATTGAAAAGTAAACATTTATGTGTTTTAATTTAAAAAAATAAATCAATAAATATTTTCACCCAAGTTCAATGTTAGGGGTAATTATTTTACAATGAAACTAAAGAAAGTTATAAATCAATTGATTTCAATTAATCAGCTTTTCAATCAGACAAATATATACCAAAATATAGACCAATTTACATTTTAGATGATTTTATTGGCCAAAAAACAGATCTAGTAAACCATGACTTATATTAGTGAAATTATTTTTCTATGGTTAAAAGCACATGTCACAAATGTTAAATATATTTATAAATCTTGATGAAATTTTAATTTTTTATGTCTAATTTAAAATGTCAAAAATATAAACGTTGAAAGATAATTACCCAATTTATTTTATAAAACAACAGGTTTTAAAGAAAAATACTGCATTGCCATGTCGTGCAAAAACTTATATCCACTGATATGCTAAATAAGTTGGTATAAATAAATCAACGTTTCTGCATATGGCCCTTAGTGTCATGTAAACATGTACGATACTGGGTGTTTTAAAGGTGGGAGAAGAAAAACAAATTTTCTTACCCAAATGCAGGTGGTGATATGGACCGTCTAGGTGGCGACCTGGGGGACCTAGATCTAGACCTTGTGACACTTCTTCTCCTTCTTCCTCTGTGCCTTCTCCTCGCAGGACTTCTACTGCGGCTCCTGCTGCGCGACCTCGACCTACTCATTTTCCTGCTGCTGTTGTTGGCGCTTTTTACGACAGGGGGCGGCACGGCGAGCATTGGGGGCGGCGGAATGGGCGATAGGCTGCGGAACCGCCTTTTCGGCGGTTCCGGTTCTTTTTCCTGGTATATTAGAATGGGGCTGGGTGATCGAGATTTTTCTCGAAGCCCCGCGACGATCAGTTCTTCTTTGGCTTTTTTCGCCGTGTTTTTCGCCTTGTAGTACTCATACAAACCTAACTTTTCCCAGCCGTCGCTGCGTTCATAAGAAATTACGATAAGAGATAAATTATTAAGGCTTTTTTAAAGTAATTGTAATTATTTTTCCTTTTTGGGCTTACAGTCAGTAAAATAAGTATTAATTTTCGATGTTTTGCATAACAGTCTGCAAAACATAGAAAATTTCATAGGCTTTCACTGTAACCGTTTAACCATAAAAATAGTCAGGTATTAGATCAGTTTATATTGGTTTTGTTTACCTGTCTCTGGGTCTGTCGTGACTCGGAGGCGAATAGAAAGCATCGACAGCCGCCAAAAGACGTTCGCTTGGCGGCGCGGGGGGCGGCAACCTAATATCTTTAGGATCTAATGGTTTATATGAGCTGTCTTCCAACTAGAATCAGCAACAAGGCTCATTAAAAATGTTCTCATCCCATGTCAATTATATTTTAAAAATCTTCGCTAAAACAAGTAAAAATCACTTACCTTTATCAAGGGTACCATCAGGCCGGCCGGCAGCTCGTAGTAGGGAGCGGTGGGCATCAATTCTTCCAGGAGCGGTTCAAGTTTCGGCGGGAAACCTGGCGGCGGTCGCGAAAAATCGGGAAAAACACCTGGGGGCGGGAAGAACCCTGGTGGCGGTAGCGAGAACGGATTGTCCATTCCGTTATTTGGCGGAGGAGGCTGGAAAGTCGGGGGTGGCTGCTGGCTAATATCCGGCGGCTGGTTAAATGGTGGTGGCGGACCGAGATTGTTCAAACTCGGCGGTGGAATAGATGGGTTTATCGGGAGAAACGTATCAACTGGATCCGATGGGGGCGGGTTAGAGAATGAGGGAGGCGGCGCAGTGGTTGTCGGTGGTTGTGATGAGAGGTTTTGTATGGTTTGTTGCAGAGTTGCTTGGATTGATTCCAAGGGAATGTTTGGAGTGACCAGAGAAGGTTTTTGAGATGACGGCGGTTGCGGCGCTGGGGGCGGTGCTTTTTCAATGTTTTGCTTTTGTTGTTGTAAATCCATGATTTGTTGCATTGCATGGCACACAAAAGCTTGGTGTTGAGCCTAAACATAGTAAATAACATAACAATTGTATTAGACCTATTTTTAGATTTGTTTACCTGATAACTTTCAAATGTACTTTTGGTTTGTTGTGCTAGAGCAGCCACTTCAGATGAATATTTAGCCATTTGATCAGCCTTATACTGTTGATAACTCTCCACAGGGTTCTTCATTTTTTCCAAAGTATCTAGTGATAAATAATTTGTTTTGGATTCCCACAACTTCCACAATTTCTCAAGTTTTTGGTTCTGTTCATCACTAGCAGCTATACTAGCATTACAAAACATTGGTACAACCACTGATTCAAGAGCATCCTTAAGATCATTTGCGTTTTTTCTAGCACTAAATGTGTAAAAATAACCATTATTTTATAAAAAAATATATCTTTGAACTTACCTATGATGTAAAAGATCATTAACCAAATAAATTACATGAAGTTTTTGTGGAAAACTACTTAATTGCAATACCCTATAAAAATACCAAAATAAAAACAAGGAAAACAAATTTCTCTTATCACTTACTTGTGCAACAAACATTTAACAATACAATATGACTTCTGTTTATTTGCAGCATGTTGTAAAAACCATGATTTTCCATTACTAATACTATCCTTAGTGCAACTGTCAATAATAGGCTGCAGAATACTGTAAGCTTCAGTTAAGTTTATACCACTACATTCAGCTTCATTTTGCATATCATTTAATTCACATTTTGCCACTCTGGTTTCAACTTGAGCATGCTGTTGCTGCATTAAAACAGTATGTTGTGCAGACAAGTTTTGTTCACTTTGTTTAATTTGCTCTCGCAAAGCTTCTTGCTGCTGAGAGATATGTTCAATTTCGATTGAATTAGGATTTGTTGGAGCAAGTGGGTTGGACCAGGCACTGGGTTCACTCATTGTATGACCTTGTTCTTTAAAAACTATAAGAATAATCGTAAAAAATACGTTTGATTTAGGGATTAAGTAACTCACTGTCTTGTTCTGTAGTTACTCTATACTGATAATAATTAAAGTACTCTCCACCATACAAAAATTGAAACTTTGGGTTCCCTTTTTGTTTGTTTTTGGTCATTTGTTCGAAATCCGGTCCATTTCTAGCGACAAATTGAGCCAATTTATCGATAATATTCTTTAACTCGGTATCTAAAATAATCATAACCTCAAAACCATTTCTAAATTTTAAAAAAATTACAATTAATTACCTTGAGGGGGCGGCGGAATATCCATATTAAAAAAAATAATGCATTTAATCAAAATACTTTAAGAAATAACACAAAATTCATCAAACTTTTAATTCTGACATTTCAGCGTTACTTTGCAACGTTGTCAAATCAACGTAAAATTTACTTGCGTATTTTAATTATAATTAAAATTATAATCAGTAAAGCCTGATTTATAGACTGCCTTCCTTCTTTCCTTTCTCCCATAAAAGATAAACAATACGAAAATCGTAGTGTCGTTTATAGACTTTCGTACGGGAATCTATAAACGGCAATACGGATTTCGTATTGTTAATCTTTTACGGGAGGAAGGGAGAAAGGAAGGAAGGAAGGGAGGTAATCTATAAATCAGGCTTTAAAGTTCAAATTTAATTAAGTTTTTATTAAATACAATTACAAAATATGTAATAGCTTAAGCTGTTTGGATTGTGGACCTTGTGTGGATTGTGATTAAAATTATATTTTTATTAAATAATTTTTGTTATAAGAATAATTATTAACAAAAATTATTTAATAAAAATATTATTTTAATCACAATCCACACAAGGTCCACAATCCACACAACAATTGTAATAATAATTAAGGTCTGTTCTATCTCATGGTAAAAATACTAAAAATCACTGCAACACTGCACAGAGTTTAACGGCGGCCATTTGTATTGTATTGTAAGCCTTAAATTAATTAAATTAATTACCAAGGACAACCATTATACTCCTCTTTTATAAAAAAATATACCTTATTTTATCAGGGCTGTCAAATGTCAATTTGAAGGTTAATTTGTGGGTTATAAATTAACCTTAAAATTGACATTTGACAGTTTCATGGCAGCCCTGATAGAATAAGGTTTATTTTTTACAAGAAAAGGGTGTAAAACACAACGTTTAAAGCATATACTTACCACAGGTAAGTATATGGTTTAAAGCGACTATAATGGCGGGTTTATACAACTTTATAGGCGGGTTTATACAACAATTGATAATTTATTTTATAATTTAATGCATAATTTAATGCATCATATCCTTTAAATAAAATACCTACCCTCCATTTTTAAAAATAACTTTTTATTTTATTTCAGTTTTCTTAAATGCCTAAACATTTTCTGGCACACCCTGTATAGGTATAGGTAAATATAACAATAATTAAAATACTAAATAAAATACCTAGCTACATTTTAAATATAACTTTTTTTTTTATTTATTTTCTGGCACACCCTGTATATAGGTAAATATAACAATAATTAAAATACTAAATAAAATACCTAGCTACATTTTAAATATAACTTTTTTTTTTTATTTATTTTCTGGTACATCCTGTATATAGGTAATTAGAAAATTGATTAAAATACATGCAATTTAATAAGTATATAAATAAACAGGCGTATTACATAATAAATAAAATTAATATTAATTATGCGTAATTAGGTACTTTTTTTTCGGCGGACATGTTTTTCTGCGCATGACCATATGTGACGTCAGCATACGACCAAAATGAGCCTACTGCGCATGCTCAGAACCAGACGTTAGTGTCATCCCTTCTGCTGCTAACTATTAACCAAGGTTAAGTTAAATGACCATAGTATTTCATGGTATTTACGCGAAAAAACGACTATAAATTACACATTTATTTTTAAAATCACAAGAATTAACTGAAAAAATCGTTTTGCCGTTGAATGAGGATTAACGCAAAGTTGCAAAATTATGGTACAATTATTGATTATGGTACGCCTAAAAAAATTATGGAAAAGATAGTAAAATTATGGTACAATTCCATAATTATGGTACGGTTGGCAACGCTGATCATATGTAACTTTAAAATCTGGTTTATACAATTCATTAATTTAGTAAATATTTAATTTTTTTAAATGACAATTTTGGTTATTAAAAGTTGAGGCATTCCACGTTACTCGGTAATTTTTGTCCCGCCCGTCACAATTAAAAATTGTGAGTAAAAACCACAAGTTATAAAATTAATATTTTATAATATTATTTTTATTGTGCTTATAATATTATTTTTATTGTGCTTATAACTTATTAAAACCACAATCCATGTGGATTGTGCGCCCAACCATCTGAGCTATGTACGGATTTTAATTAGGTATAATTATAACGTTATAATTATAACGTTATAATTATAACGTTAACGTAACTAACGTGCATTTAACATTTTCAATCGCGGCACATTTGTCAATTAAGCGATTATGCGCAGTAAGAGGAGCCGCCAGTGGCATTTAGCGTCTCGTGAAACTTTGTAGTATTTTTTAAGGCACAAACACAAAACACAAAAATTATTAATCATAACCTTATAAAATGGAGAGAAAAATTGTTGGCACATGCGCGGTTTAATTTTATTATTTATAATTCATAATTTATTTCATAAAATTTTGTGAACTTTTAAGGTTATTCAATAAACAATAAATTGTGAGTTAAGCATTAAATCCTTGTATAAATTGTGAATTATGAAATAATTAAATTAAAATAATAATTTAAATTAATGATATGAAGTTGTATAAACCCGCCATTAAAGTTATGTATTAAATTATGCATTAATTTAACAATTGAGTTATGAAATAAATTGTCCACTAAATTATGAATTGTTGTATAAACCTGCCTTTAATCTATATAAACAGCACAAACCCAAAGCATAAGAATTATAAACAACATAAAAATGGCCGCCTTTCGAGTCTGTGCAGTGTTGCAGTGATTTTTAGATTGGCGTAATGTTAGCTACCAAAGCAGGCCAGCTACCAAAACCGACCACGCATGCGCATTTGAAATGTCATTTTATTTCAAATTTAATAGGTTAAAATGGGTTATAAAGCAAGTTTAAGCATTGTTTTACATATTTTAAAGAGGAAAAAGCGTCCTAAGTGTAATTTTAATAGTTATAATTTAGGTAATAAACCACAACTAATCCTGAAAAACAGTAACAACAAATGTTTAACCTCCAAAACAGGCCAAGGGATTTTTCTACTTTTACAAGCATAAATAAGTAAGAAAAAAGTGTGATACCCCAAGTAAACGCATTGTGCGACATTTTTCAAGCAAATTTTAAGAAAGAAAATGTGTTCTAAGTGAAATTCAAGTCATATTTTTAATATCTTCGGTTCAGCTACCAAAACAGGCCAGGGGGCTTTTCTTCCATTTACAAGCATAAATAAGCAAGAAAAAAGTGTGATACCCCAAGTATAGGCATTGTTTGACATATTTCAAGCAAGAAAATGTGTTTAAAGTGAAATTTAAGAAATATCTCTAGTTCAGCTACCAAAACAGGCCAGGGGGCTTTTCTTCCATTTACAAGCATAAATAAACAAGAAAAAAGTGTGATACCTCAAGTAAATGCATTGTTTGACATTTTTCAAGTATATTTTAAGAAAGAAAAAGTAAAATTCAAGTAATATTTTTAATATCTTCAGTTCAGCTACCAAAACAGGCCAGGGGGCTTTTCTTTCATTTATAAGCATAAATATACAAGAAAAAAGTGTGATACCTCAAGTAAATGCATTGTTTGACATTTTTCAAGTATATTTTATGAAAGAAAATGTGTTTTAAGTGAAATTCAAGTAATACTTTTAATATCTTCGGTTCAGCTACCAAAACAGGCCAGGGGGCTTTTCTTCCATTTACAAGCAAAAATAAGCAAGAAAAAAGTGTGAAACCCCAAGTAAATGCATTGTTTGACATTTTTCAGCATACTTTAAGAAATAAAATGTGTTTTAAGTGAAATTCAAGTAATATTTTAGGTTATGTTCATCTACCAAAACAGGCCAGGGGACTTTTCTTCCATTTCCAAGCAAAAATAAGCAATAAAAGTGTGATACCCCAAGTAAATGCATTGTTTGACATTTTTTAGGCATACTTTAAGTGAAATTAAAGTACTATTTTTAATATCTTCAGTTCAGCTACCAAAACAGGCCCGGGGGCTTTTCTTTCATTTCCAAGCAAAAATAAGCAAGAAAAAAGTGTGATACCCCAAGTAAATGCATTGTTTGACATTTTTTAAGCATACTTTAAGAAAGAAAATGTGTTTTAAGTGAAATTCAAGTAATATTTTTAATATCTTCGGTTCAGCTACCAAAGCAGGCCAGGGGGCTTTTCTTTCATTTACAAGCAAAAATAAGGAAGAAAAAAGTGTGATACCCCAAATAAATGCATTGTTTGACATTTTTTAAGCATACTTTAAAAAAGAAATATGTTTTAAGTGAAATTCAAGTAATATTTTAGGTTATGTTCATCTACCAAAGCAGGCCAGGGGGCTTTTCTTCCATTTACAAGCATAAATAAGCAAGAAAAAAGTGTGATACCCCAAGTATAGGCATTGTTTGACATATTAAAAATTTGTAAATTCAATAATTACAGATTTTATTCGATTTTAAATTGTTATTATTTTATAAAAATAAAAAAATATTTAAAATGGTATAAAACCTGTAATATTTGGATTTTTTAAATAAAATTTTAAATTTGTGTATACATTATAGTAGATTATAAATTGAACCACTTTAATTTGAATTATCTTAAATAGGGGGGCCTGGAGGCGGGTGAGGCGACAGGAAAAACTAACTTTTTTCGCAAACTTCAATTTAAATTTGGTGTGGGTCCATATCTAATAAGTTAAATATTGGTATACCCAAAATCCACCAGCCGCCACTGACGACACAGTTATAGCAAAATAATTAATTATTTACATGTGCTATTATAACATTGCCATGGCTACATGTCTTAGTTTCGATACCCTTATAAATATAAATAAAAAAAAATATATAAAATATCATTTATCAATCAAAACAAAAGAGACATTGCAACTAAAATTTTTATATTATTATAAGTTGTCATGAGATGCACCGTTGGAGGCCTTTAGCGCTAACGGTGGATGTGGGTGGAGAGACCTCTCTTTTGTTTAATAATAATAGTTTAGTTTGTAACCTCAAGTCAGGGTTGCTCAGTGAGCGGAATTTACCCAATCGGATTTTAAAAATCTCCAGAATTTTTTTTATTAATTATTATGATGCATAATTGAATTATTGAATATATGTTTTTCAAATCTCTAAAATCCTCAAAAATAGTTTGTGTTACGAAGAAAATTCCCAAATTTAAAAAAAAATA